AGGTAATATAAAAAATAATTATAATGTATTAATTATTAATTTAAAAAATGATTTAACTGACTGATCAAGAGAATGGAACAACCTACCCGAAAATGTAAAAATAAAGATGCTGCTAAATGACGCGCGCGCAATGTATTGTTCTAGTGTAATATAAGTATAACATTTTTCATATTAAAAAAATTCATATTTGCCTCTTCTACACCTTAGAATGATCCCGTTCGTGGCCGATCCGAGTGGAAAAGTTTACAGGAGCATTTCAATAGGCCATCATACTAAAGTATGATTTTTTGTATAACTTCACTATGATTTTTAGTCGTCTTGTCGTGTAGAAATTAGCATAAGTCCGTAAACAGTCTCGATACGACGATTTTTAAGTTTACGCATCTTACTACAAGTTTACAAGACTGTGTAAATTAAAATTACAGTAAGATCCTGCACACGATAGAGGAAATATTAGGAATAGGAATAAATATTAAATTCACGTTGTTTAAATTTATAAGCTGGAGTATAAATATTTTGAGTTACGACTGCATAACACAATTCTTATAATATATTTTGTATTTTTTTTCATTGTCATTATACTTAATCGCTCTTCTTTTTCTCTCTGCTAAATTCAGTAAAGGAAAGTCCTCTATTACGAGATAGGATTCTAATGTGAGATAGTAGGTTTCCAAATTCCATCGCAAATCTTTTTTCGCAACGATTACACGATCTAAGAATGAATTTTCCATTAAACAGATTTCACTCCAAGGGCACTAAATTCATGGTGGAACCAACAGATGATGCCTATTAATTTAGCAGAAACTCCGCTGCCTGATATTATGAGCCTATCTCACAATAGGGGATACTTTCCTTTATTAATTGCCTATCTACCCATTCGAATGAGCAGCAAGTGAGATCATCCTTAGGTGTAGAAAAAGTATTTGATACAAAGCGTACAGTGTTCTCTTCGTGCTAGAACTGCGTGTGTATTTGAAACGTATCAGGATTGTCTTTGAATGATCGCGAGAGAAATTTACAGCGGAGAAATCTACTTTCCGGCCGGAATACACATATTTTCGGATGGAAAGCGCCCGGCCCGCTTTAAGAAATGTTTAATCTCGCGGCTATGGAGGTCTGGTTTCACGTCAGCGCGGAAAATTCGCGGCGGATCTACCGGTGGGGTTGGCAGGAGGGTGGATAATGCGCAGGCACGAAATAGTAAATTTTATAAAATAATACCCTCCTCTATGCGGGCTGCATATTCATTTTTCCGGAGGGGTCTCCCTCTCCGGGAGCGAGTTCCAGAGGAGGGAAAGGAAGAGGTGGAGGAGGAAGAGGAGGGTTGCCCGCCACTGCCCGGTTCGAGCCGTGTACATATGTATGAGCTTCTGGTGGACGCGCTGGTCATGCCTCGACGAATCGGGGGCTTTCTGCCCTTTATATTTGCCGGCGCGCACACAGCGCGCCCTTTCCTCTCGCGAATAAACAGGGCCGACCCCGAGAGAAAGGAAGAAAAATAGGCAAGCCGGATGATTAGCGCTCCCCGTCTTTCTTCCGAGTGCAAGCTGCATAACGACTTCTGTCTGTTTTAACGAGAAAACCGCATAACACTGTGCGCGTATCGGGTGTACGCAGGTGCGCGAAGAAATGCGCCTCTTTTACGCGTAACAAATGTCACTTCAAGACGGAAGAAACGCTGCGCTTCACGGAAACACAATTGCACGTGGAAACTACAAGCGACTGCGTTTACGTACTTTCACCCACGATTGTGTCGTAGGTACATTCGCCATACGAAGCTTCATTTTTTAACATCGCACGACGAGGGGAGACGCGAGATATGAGCCCGATCGAACTCACTTGCCAAAGCTATTGTCTCTTGATGAGACTTCCCGAAATTTCTTTTTCAAACAAGCCGCGTGATCTTCGCGAAAGGCCGCTTTGCGGTACCAAAGATGGAATTATCGCTAACATTTTCGCCGTTAACTATGTTATCGAGGCTGGCTTTTCTTCGACGTATGCCCAAGAAAAGCAACGCGCCCGCTCGCTTGCTCGCTCGCTCGCTTGCATTAAAGAGCAATTAGCCGCGGCTCGCGAGCACGCTGATGCCCGGAAGCGATAGAAGCGGGCCGCGCGTGCCACCCTTACTTCTTCTTCTTCTTCGTATACGTGCCTTTGTATTATACATATGCTTGCACTTACCTCTCAAGTAACGCGTCTCGCTCGCGAGCTCGCCTGACTCGAAGCAGTTCAGGCTGGTATAAGGATTTCCATCTTCCTCGGCCCGCGAAATCTACGCCGCTACCGTTTTTACCGTCCACGTCGGCGAGGAGTATGTGCGCTTCTCTCTTTCTTCCTTGCAGAACTTTCCTAATGAACAGATAAAATGATCAGAAATCCAGTCCCGTAAAGACGAAAGGATTCCTCACCGTAAATGTAGAGGAAATCGTGACGTGACAACGATTGAAGATTATATGAGGGAAAAACTGTTAATTACGGAATAAGAATGTAAAGTGAGAAAAGCCATAAACTCACACGTCTTCGTTCCGAGATGCGACGGTAGTTTGTTGCCTTTCTTCATCGTTCGCGCCTCGCGTTTTCCCTCTTTCCTCATACGCTCGCCCCGCAGCGTTCCTAGCCGCTCGCTCAATTACCGTCGCGGATAATCATTATCGCGGAAACTGTATCGCCGGGCCTCATTGCCCCAATCCTTAATTAGCTGCCGGCTAGACGGTAATTGGTACGAACCGGTGTCGAGTGGCCGATACGATGGCGAGAAGATACAAACGAGGCAGCACGTGGGCAATAACGTCCTCGGTAGCTGAAGTCGTTTCGCGCGTTGCGACACTTATTCGACCTGAAATTAATGAGTCGCGATTAGTTTATACCTAATAAACACGTCTCACGCGTTGCAGCGACTCAACGGTCGTTCAAATCGTACCAAGAGCGCATTCCCATACACGATATGCCTCTTACGAAAATGCTATTTATCAAGAGGCAATTGGACTGATTGTGAGATTGCAAAATTGAGATGTATCAAAATCCCCAGAAGTGAAACTTTGTAATTAATTACGCTTGAAATAATTCAGCATTGAATTAAGCCACGAGGTACAATCATCAAGTGTAAACGTTTGTGCATCACGAAGGTCGAACGCAAATAACAGAATTATTTTATAAGCGACACACGTGCGATTAACGAGTTACAATTAACTTATACCTAAGAAATATGTCTCGTGCGTTGCAATCGTTCAACAGTCGTTCAAATCGTATCAAGAGCGTTTTCTCTTACGCGATATGCCTCTTACAAAAATGCCATTTGTCAAGAGGCAATTGGGCTGATTGTGAGATTGCAAAACTGAGATATATCAAAATCCCCAGAAGTGAAACTTTGTAATTAATCACGCTTGAAATAATTCAGCATTGAATTAAGCCACGAGGTACAATCAAGTGTAAACGTTTGTGCATCACGAAGGTCGAACGCAAATAACAGAATTATTTTATAAGCGACACACGTGCGATTAACGAGTTACAATTAACTTATACCTAAGAAATATGTCTCGTGCGTTGCAATCGTTAAACAGTCGTTCAAATCGTATCAAGAGCGTATTCTCTTACACGATATGCCTCTTACAAAAATGCCATTTGTCAAGAGGCAATTGGACTGATCGTGAGATTGCAAAATTGTGATATACTAGAATCCCTAGAAATGAAAACTTGTAATCAATTATGCTTGAAATAATTGAGCATTGAATTGAGCCACGAGGTACAATCAACAAGCGTAAACGTTTGCGCATTACGGGGAATTATTTTATAAGCGACACACGTGCAAATAAATTGGATAACTATGCACTTTTGCACCTCGCTACGGCTCTCTTTCGGCTTAAAGATAACGATGAATCCAAGATCGCAACATGCACGTGCGTGCGCTCACGCACGGGTGATACTGTTAATTGCAATTTATACCCGGTCAGCTTATATCAAGAGCAGGAAATCCCTCGTGTTTTGTTTATTAATTTTTGAAGATTAATTTTACGAGGTAACTCGTTCTCGAAATTAATTACGAGCCAGGTTATAATCGATTCGAAGTTTGACGCTATTCCTCGCGATACCGGTATCCTGTTACGGGCAACGCTCTTTTTCTTCCTCCTGGCATGGATATTTATTGGTCAATGGTATGCTATATTTGCTTCGTTCTGCGATTCTTTTCTCCAGCGTTCTATTTCAGTTTCCGCAGAAAAACCTCCAAAAGCGGACGACGATACCTCACATCGTCATATTACACCTCTGCGGGCAATCTGCACATTTTTTCACCTTTTTCTTTTTTTTCCAAGAGTACGCGCCGCACAAGTACGGCAATTGTGAGGTAAAGCCGCAGCACAGCCCGGCTTTGTCTTGCACCGGTACCGAATCGGTATGGGAGAAAAAACAGCGGCCGATTGGACTGGGTCTGCGCGCGAGAGAAGGAATACCTGTCTACGTACCTACGCGCGGGGCAGCGCCGGGCAGTGCGATTATTGAGCGGGCAAAGATAAAAGGTCGGTTTCGTCTTCCCATAAAGCGAAAGTGAAGTAAACGTGCGGCACCACTTTATGCTGATCGATTTGTGGTGATTTTATATCTTCGCCTGTCTATAGTTCTATACACCGGCCGGTGGCGGAGCCTGCAGCGGCCCGGTTCAAACGGGCCGCGATACTTTATATCTGCGGTATAAACGCGAAATTGAGCTTTACATATTCCGGACAGAAAGGGGCGAGCAAGGGGCTCAAAGTGCTCGCGCAGCAAATTTCTTTGTGCTGCCCATAGAGCAAGTCGATCGCGTTGGTCGAAACATTCTTGCGATCAATACCGATGTATTGCACGAAAAGGTAGAGATGAGAGAAAAAAAGAAACGATATTTACTTCTCCCGATACAAAAATTTAATCGAGAAATAACGTGCCGCATTTCTCATTACGACGGATCAATCCCACTTTAATGGCTACATTTCGTTTTTATTTTAGACATAAATAACAAAAAGATGTATAGGGGCGATAATAAATTTATTAAATTGACATATCACGTAAATATTCTATTACATAATTTCTACTACCTGCACCTAAAAAAAAATAATATGTTTATAGATCTTTACAGATCTGTTACTTACAGTTTTATCCCTTTAACGAAAATAAATGTACACTACGAGTAAAATAATCTCTTCTTAGCTAATTTGCATTTAATATTTAGGACACTTTTATATTTAAGAATTGCATATTTTTCAAGTCTTACCCTATTTGTTGCACATAACGTCGATTTTCTTCTTATATAACATAAACCTCGGCATCATTAGATATAACTATTAAGATGTCCATTTTTCATATAATTAAATTGTCAAGAGAGTCCGCATCGAGAAATCTAGACTTCACCGTAGATATGTATAACTATGAAAGACCCATTTCAAATAGGACACTTGGATTCAGAAGGGACTTCCGAGTCTGTGGAAATATCTTCTGCAGTGAGAGCAAGAATTTCCTCACAGACACGTTTGTAAACCCACGCATCGCCTTTTAATCTCTTCCGACGAATGCCGACTAATCGTTTACCGCTCGGACCTATCTCCAAGAAGCAGACTTCCAATTCGAAGGAACAGACATTCTGCGAAGAAACCGATTTCGCCGAGTCTTTCCTATCTACCGGAGAGGATTCTTCGGTTTCCCCTTGCAAAATAAATCTACGACAACAATGTTTTTCATGACACAACGATAGGAAATGCAGAGCGATCGAAATAAAATTAGAGTTACCCTTTCTGACGGCACATTATTCCCTTTTGCCGAAGTGCTCGTCGTAACTTCGAGAGGACATGTTTAGGACAACCGCTGCATGTTGCAGACACGTTAGAAAGACCCTTTGATAACAAAAATACAATTTATGCCATTTACGAGACAGAAACTTCTTCAACTGGTGTTTTTATATTATAATTAAGGGCTCAGATAATAAACAGTAAAAGCGATAGAAACGGAAAGGCATTATTTTTTAACGACTTGCAATTGTATCCACATACTAGTTCAATACCAATGTAACAACAACCTTGATTTGCTCGGTTTATTGACGCACCTATCATTGTTCAGTGGATACTTGCGCCGATAACGTCAAAAATTATCTCACGCACGGAATATGAATGCTCCAGAAGTTCCACAGTGCAGTATGTATATAATTTTAACATTTGAATTAATTTATTATATTTCAACATCTCTTATAATCTGTCAACAGTACACGGAGTAACCAATTTCTTCCCTGATACCGTAGGAAGTATTCGGTGTTTGCAATGCGAACACAGTCTATCGGCATTCATCATCTGGTGAGATTATTTGTCGTATATAGCGAGATTCGGTTTTTTTGTTGCAATGCTGACTCGTCTAAATTTAGCTTCTGCTCTTAATTAATATGTACGTTAACTATTATTCCGCGATATGTTTAATTTATTCTATTTATGTTATATGTCACCGAAGAGGATCACGTAAGATGACCGAAACGTTTGACTTATCTTAAATAATTTTTTATAAATTAAACTGTTTGTTACTTTTTCGCTGCTGGCATCCTGCATCGGCTCTTACTGCCTTTCCGTTTCTATCGATTTTACTATTTTTATATTGTTTAGATGTGAAATATACCTTCCCCGACAATACATTTGGTTCATCGGGATCGCTGTTTTCGTTCTTCACTCGCCTTTTCGGTGTGAGGACATGCCTAACCCGATTCAATCCTCGTTCTAGACCCATTATAACTTTTCTTGCACTACCGGGTGTAGATGTCTGAGAAACTCTAAAAATATACATATTTTCAAACCTCGTATTTGTTGTATTAAGTTCATATTATTCATATGCTCACTTGGAATCTGGTGTTGAAGATTGCGTTGGAGTAGCTGATCTATTTTCAAGCATTCTTTTTGCTGGAACTAGGAACAATATTATAAAAAGCTAGGCCACGTAAGCATGACTTTAATATCATTTACGTATTGTCAACAAATTGTATAGATGAATAGGATTACGGAAAAGTTTAATACTCTTCTGAGTAGCGAAGTTTTAAATGTAGTGGTGCTCGAAGAATAGTGTATCTTCTAAGGAGTTTTGGGGAAGAATTCTTGTACACGGAAATTCTTAAGTCCAAATTGCGTTTGTTAGCAAGTCATTGCTCTTCTCGAGGTAATTATCTGCTTTTCGCGCGACTACTGTAATTTATCGCAGTCGGAAACTTTCATTAAAGTTTCTAATTAGGTGGTGTTAGCATCACCTAATTAGAAGTAAACTTTAGAAAATGTACGAAGGAACTAACTGCGGTTATAACGCGTTTCATAAACAGTTGTACGTAAAATGCACAGAAACATAAAAAATCGACGTATCTAAGAACACGCGAAAAGTTTCCGAAGATAAAACAATTCGGTAGAAATTGCAATATTTATTCAAAAATCGATAAATGGTAAAAGGACCAGAATATTGTAATGATGATAAAATATTTACCGGGCGATGATATATCGTCACACTCTCTGCTTCGTAATCTTTTTCTTGTTGCTGTACATGGTTCTACAAACTTATTTTCATTTTTTTTAGGTAGAATATTATAAGTAGCAGCAATCGGAGACTGCTTGTCGTTTGCTCTACTGCCTGGAGAATGATCGAGTTTGGTTATCATATTGTTGGCTATCATTGCACGTTGTGGAAAATTTGTGCCATTCTGTAGTGAGAACAAAATTTATACAATTAGATATATCAGTCTCATTAAAAAAGAAAAAACTATTAACTTACCATTTCTTGCTTAAGGTGAGACTTCGTTACAGACGGTATCTTTAATGAAAGTCCGCGTAATTTTCTGTCAAGTAACAGCAGATATGTAGCTGTTCTGTAATCGGTCCTATCACTCTGTCTGAGTTTCTTCCATATATCTAAACTATTTCCACCGCAAATGGCGGACATAGTACTCAACACCTCGTCATCTTTCTCAAACTAGAAACGTTTACACAAAAGGAAATTTCACAAAATATTTCAAGCTGTAAAATAAACTCCGCACAAAAGAATTCTCACCTCTGTTCTGTGAACGAATGATATAGATTTCAGAGAACTTCCCATAACCCATGGGTGACGACACAACTCGTGAATAGTGATTCTCTGTGCCGGATTGATTTGCAACATTGACTTGATTAGCGTTTTACTATCATTAGACAACCAATATGGTTCTTCATACTTGCCACTCTAGAATAAATTTGTAATTTGTATATTTGCGCTAGAATACGCAGATTGTAGAACTTACAAGTATCTTTTTGTACAAGTTCTCTAAATTATTGTCATCGAAAGGTAAAAAGCCACACAGTAAGGCGTAAAGAAGGACTCCCATGCTCCAGATATCTACTTCGGACCCTGCAATAAATGTCACATTTTAAACGTTACACTACAGAGAGATGACAAAAATCTTTTTAGAAGCTTAATTACCTAGATATTTCCTTCCCATTATGAGCTCTGGTGCGGCATACGTGGGAGAACCGCAGGAGGTATACAAATGTGCCTGAATCCCCATTTTGGGTTTCGCGCATAGCCCAAAGTCGATTAACTTCAAGTTCTCATCCTTGTCCAGTAAAACGTTTTCCTGTTGAAAAAAAAAGAGTAAAGGTAATCCCACTTGGATAATATATATCGCGAAAGATGGAAGACATGCTTACAGGCTTTAGATCTCTATGAGCGTATCCCAGACTGTGCATATACACAACGGCAGACACTATTTGGCGAAAAAATTTACGCGAGTCAGACTCTGACAATTTATTTTTCTCAACTGCAACGCAATAACGTCATCAATATCTGTGGCGGTTGAAAATGTCCCAAAATTCTTCGTGCCGTAACATTACCTATGTGATCGAATAGCTCCCCGCCGGAACAATATTCCATCACCATGAAGTAGTGACTGTCCGTCTCTATCACCTGATACAGCCTACAGATGTGTTGATGCAACAGTGTCTTGAGTGCCTCCACCTCGACCTTCACCCTTGGTAAATCTTCCTAGAATGAACAACTGGCGTACATTTTAAGACAGAACAGATAGAGGAGTGTCGACCGACGAGACGAAGCGGCACCGAGTTTTCCCTCTTCTCAAAGACAACGCGAATAGCTGGGATTTCACTTACGCCTAACGAGGTCTTCTCCATTATCTTGACGGCAACCTTCTCGCCGGTAGCGACGTGAGTCGCGAGTTTGACTTTGGCGAAGCCGCCGCTGCCGATTGTCTTCTCCAGGTCGTACAATCCTTTCAGGGCGGCGTATCGCACCATCGTCGGGCCCGGCACTAGAAATGCGGATCGTAAATGCCGGAGGTGTACCGCGAGTCCCACCCAGGTAGTCGCATCAACTTTCAAACTGCGGTTCCCAACGTAAACAACTTTTGACGGCCAATCAACACCGCGCTCGCCACTTTTCCCGTTATCAGTGCTGCCGCGCGCGCCACTACGCAAAGTGCGCAATGGTCGAACGTAAGTCACCACGTCGGTATCTTGAAGCGGCTGTCGATAAAGCAGATCTCCCGCGGCCTTGTTTACCGATGGTGCAATTATCAAGCGCGGAATAGAGAAGGAATCGCTTTACCCCCCCCCCCCCGATGAAAATAAAAATTGGAGCGTAAATCGAACGTAAGGGAAGAGTGACACAAGCGTAAACGAAATGTGTAGGAAGCGTAATTTGGAACAGCGAAACGTAAAAGAAACCTCAAACGCTTCTTTTACGCTTCGCTGTTCCAAATTACGTTTCCTACGCATTTCGTTTACGTTTCCGTCACTCTCCCCTTACGTTCGATTTACGCTCCAAATTCTATTTTCATCAGGGCCACGACAATGTAACGACGCGCGTCGTATTATGTTTTTGCAGAGAGAACCTGAGAGCGGCCACGCCGGCGTTTTATTTGATACCGTTTTCGCTCAGCTGATTCCAGCCAGTGAGAAATGATTCGTCGATCGACGTCGAAATGATGTCGAATCGACGTCAATTCGCCGGTGTCGATGTCGATTCGACGTCGTTTCGACGTTGATCGACGAATCATTTCTCACTGGGCAGCGTCTTACGCCCATTTTCATTTTTTGAAATTATTTCGCTACACCCATTTTCAAGCACTGCCGATAGTCTCCATTTGGTGGGTGTCTGTGCTACGCCCATTTTTCAAGCGAGTAATGCAGTGCCTAATTTTGATTGTGTTCTCTGCTTGCATCCACTTTCAATCTAATATCAATGACGTAATATTGTAAGTTTTCGAAAAGAATTGTACTTGTTTGTATTGATTTGCTAGTATAGCGTCGTTCGCAGGATCGTTCACGCGGCAAAAACCTCGGCCGAAAACCGAGCGCGGATTCCAATAGATTGTTTTCGACCGAGGTGTTGACGGCGCTACGTCATTTCTTGGAATCCGCGCTCGGTTTTTACGGTGTTTACGTCGCCGTACGCAGGATCATTCACGCGGCGACAGTCGAATTGATCGGTCATGCCCGCGCCGCTTCGCATATCGTATTATTCTTTCTTGATACGCGTTCGCGACAAGTGCGGGAAGAAACCGCGATCGCTCTCTGCGAGTACTCGGTGATTGATATCAACGTGCGATCGCTGAATTCCCGCGATTTGCCATCGATGCTCGATGTAGTCGAACATTTCGTAGTGGCAATCGGACTCAGTGACAATCGGACATGGTGAAAACCGAAGAAGTGGCATTTGGATACAGTGGCAGCGACAAGTGACTTTACAAACGGAAGTGTAAATTCGCGAGTGTGTCGGAGGACAGCTGAGTGGGTGGAGAGGAGGCCCAGGATAGGCATCGGGCGCTATTGCAGAATCAACGTGGATGCAACTCCGCCGCTGCGCATCGTTCGGTGAGTGAAAAGATTTTTATTAAAGTAACGGAATCTACATTTTTAGATCGTAGATCGTAGATTGATATATTTCGTAGATTCCGTTACGTTAAAATGGATAGGTCACAAATAGTTTCACGTTTTATTTAATAAAGCAGAGAACACAACCAAAATTGGGCACTGCATTACCCGCTTGAAAAAAATGGGCGTAGCACGGACACACACCAAGTCGAGACTTTATCGGCAGTGCTTGAAAATGGGTGTAGCGAAGTAGTTCCAAAAATCACGGGCGTAAGGCGCTGGAATCAGCCGAGCGAAAACTGTATCGAGTAAAACGCCGGCGTGGCGCCGCTCTCAGGTTTCTCTCTGGTTTTTGCACGAAAAATGGGGACGGTCGTCTGACAGACTGTTTGACGCGCAAAATGTTTGGAATCTCCGAAATGACTTGTCGCTTTGTTGAGAAATATCGCGTTGACAAACAATGGCACAGTTTCTCCGAGTGTGCAAACCGGAAATCTGTTGCGTGGCCAGAAGTTACGGGACTCGGAGGTTAGAATCTTGTATTATGTTGTAATTGCTACCTAAGGGCCTGAGCAAGAGTGGCTGTCTTGTATTCTTAAGGCCCGGTCTACAATGAGTTGTTAGTCGTTAGTCAGAAGTCGGAACTATATGTCGGTCCTTTTTTTTCCACCCAGAAAGGAAAAGGATCAACATATAGTTGCGACTTCTGACTAACGACTAACGACTCATTGTAGACCGAGCCTAAATCATAAGACAGTTATTGTGCGTTACTTTAAGACAAAGATTTAAAACATAAAGCGTTGTCTTAAGAGTACAAGACAGCTATCCTGCTCAGGTCCTCACGATAACTTTGTTTCTTTTAGCTGGGCAGTCTTTATACTCTCTTAGGGTCTGAACTGAATGACTGTCTTGTACTCTTAAGACGTAAGACAGTTATTGTGCGTCACTTCAAGACGAAGGCTTAAAACATAAAACATTGTCCTAAGGCTGTCTTAAAGGTGTAAGATAGCCAGTCTGCTCAGGCCCTTACGATTCTTGTCTTTCCCTTGCCCTCTAATGTGGGAGGTGGGAGTGTACGCTTATTTTGTTCTCGAGTACAGAAAGTAACGGCATCAGCTGCTAAAAGAAACAAATTTGATTACTGCCAATGTAGCGCGTTCCTTTTAAAGGTACCAGCAGAATCATTATGAGACTTTAAATCTTTCGTCCGATGCGTCACAGAAAGAGATCAGACAAGCTTTTATCAGATTGTCGAAACAAGTATGTAACGCCTCAGATAATTTGTTCTGTATTAGGAGAATTCATTTTGTTTCGAATTCAGTAACTTTTCGCTTTGACTAGCATTAGAGAAAAGTCCTCTAGTATCAGATAGGCTCCTAATATGGGATAGCGGGGTTTGAATTAATAGACGTCATCAGTTGATTCCACAATGAAGTTATTGCTGTTGGAGTGAAATCCGTTTAGTGGAAAATTCATTGTTAGAATGCGTAATCGTTGCGAAAGAAGATTTGTGATTGCATTTGGGTGTTGAAAACCTGTTATTTTATATTGTAAATCTATCTCATAAGAGGACTTTCTATAACGAATAATAACAGCATACTGTTTTTTTTATCTTTCGCTACTTTACATTTTTAATTTGTAGAAATTGCACATTTGTTTTCGCTAGCTGCATCCTGATACCAGTGGGAAACAAGATCATGCTGATTTCGTGAGGTTGAACGAGGCGTACAAGATTCTGGGAAAGGAAAATACGAGGCGTCAGTACGATTTTGATTTGAAATATAGCAGATGCAACCCATCCTACATATACAATTCACAGAACACGTAAGTCAATGTAATACATTTGAACATTGATTTGTTAAAAAATGCTAATAATTGTGCAATATGAAACGAACGATCTGGCGAATTCTTGCTTTTGCATTTTCAAATTTGTGCCTTTTATATCGCACGTATAAATATGTGGAAGCAAGCAATCTAATGCACTATTGCAGACAATATGGAAGTCAATGGGAATACGAAGTGCGTGCGGCAGGAGGACCGTGGCCGCCATCTCAGAAAAAGCCAGACGCACATTTTGGCGTCCTAATAGCTCTCGCGTGTTTTGGATTGGGGTTACTCCAAGCTGTTTTCATGATGTATTCTATCAATGTGAGAAAGACAGCACTTTTGCGAAACGCTCGAATAGAAAACGAATACCAACAAATTCGAGACTCGGCGCACATTAAAACCAGTCAGTTTGCCATAAGGGATCTTAATTCCTTAGAGAATCTTAACGAGTACCTGACTCAAAAGAATAGTAAATGTTAGCAAAAAGTATATTAGAAATTAAAAAGTGGCAGTTACATTAGTATTTTTTTCTCGCTTCTCTCTCCTCATCCTGTTCCTTCTTGTTATACTGAAAATCTATTGCTATAATTTGCATATAAAGATAGTTTTATATTTATTTATTTTTTTGATACTTTTTATAATATCTCGTTTATCTGCTCACACTAAAGAAACCTTTAAAATTTTTAAGACAAGATACAGAATATTCTCTTCTGCGTTGCTTCAATTATATGCTAAAAAATTTATATAAACTTTTATATTTTTGTAGTGTTTATACACATAGAAAGTAAAGGAAAAACTGCTGTATAAGAAAATGATTTTTACGACAATATATTTCGTGCATATTTTACAAGGTATTTCGATACTACTTAGAAAAAAAAGTGAATTACATTTTTTGTACTTTAACGTACATTATATACACATACATGTCGGCGATATACATTCACGCTAATACAGATTTTTGTGCACGTTGTGTAAGCTACCTTGAATCTAATCGTTTCTCGAAATAGTTACTTTATTTACAATAGTTTAGCATCACACCTATATAATGATATGCAAGTTTTAGACACATATTGCACATATATACAGTAAATTATAAAATATATTTCCTTTACTATTATTTTTACAATGCCGCTGCATCTTTTTTCTTAATATTACGCGCGTGCTCTATTCTCTTTTCACTCTTCATCAAACTTTCGATCGTTTCAGACGTACCTCTCTCTTCAACTTTAGCCTCATAATTTTTTTACATATGTAATAGCAGCCGTATGAGGGGACGCGGGCGAGAAGATTGGCTTCCCGTCCTCATCCACGTAGTCGTTGTAATTAAGATTGTATATCGCTTCGAAACCAAGTCGCGCGCACACCTTACCGGAGAAAAAGGACGTGCAATCTGCCCTGGCGTAATGAAATCCTTGCTCCTTTGCGATTTCTCTGTAATTTATAAGTAGATCAAGAATATATCGCTCGCCCTTGAATGCATCTTTCACTCGGATTGATTTCTAAATATTGTAAACGCAAGATAATATTTACATCGACTTTTCCATGAGAGTCTTCGCGATACCTTTTCCCCTCCAACTTGTATCCACCGAAAGTATTTTGATCTCCATAACGTTGCAATTCCGAAATTGCCCACCCATGTTTACACCCTTGTCAATGTGGTGCAATAATCTCAGTATCTTTTTAAATTTCGCGTTTTTACACGAACGTATGTATTCTGGTTCTTCGTTCGACGGAGGCTCCATTTTGCCTGCAAGAGATAAAATAGCTGTAAATCCACGTGTATCTACAGTTACATAATTAATTTATATTAAAAACTACTTAATAATTCACGTTTATAACGTATACATGTACCACTTCGTAGAGGGAATTATCGTTTTTGCACGATACGCGTATTAATACACACTTATCAAGTTCAGGTGTTCAATTAACAGTTTCTTCTTACGTCACTTGCAGTGTCAGACGATTATTTTTACCGTTTCAAGCAGGGTATGTTTTTTTCTCAATTTTTCTTACCTTTCAATATTCATCGAGAGCGAAGTCGAAAAATTATTTTAATAGATATGTTGTCGCGTATGTGATACGGCATGACATGCATACATAGTCGTACATCTTGCAGTAAATTTTGCATATTATCTTACAATTAGCGACAGCTATCGATGTACATGATAAAGCCAGGAATTAAATTAAAATATAACGTAGAACCAGCAGCATATGTAGTGTAATGTGTTACGTGATACCTTCTTTTTTATCAACTTTGCGAATTAATAATTCCGCATACTAAAAGGTGAATCGATAACTAGATAGATCCAGTTAATTTGTCTTTAATGTTAAATTATGACATGCATCATATTATTGTATCGATGTTTCTTCACTTATAAGTGAACTTTTTCAATCTTTTTATATCTGCTTTCCTTTCTTCTCTTTCTATCTTTTATTTAAAAATATTCTTATTTTGAAGAATATTATAAAAGATATCATCTCTTGACTTTTAACAACCTTGCTGTTCTCGCTTAACGATTATCTACGCTACTATTAATCTACGCGGTTGATTTTAAATTGTATTTTTAAATCTTTGATTAACATCTTCGCGGCACCGTTAGCGATTCGCGCATGCATAATTTATAAATGCGATTTTCGAATATCGTATAAGCGTTGTTTGTGCATTGTAATGTGTAGATACATATTTATTAGACAATAATGTGATGTAATTATCTATTTCGAGTCACAAACCGGTATCGGATAATAACTCGCGGTACATTGGAGATCCGTAGCATTTTACGTAACATCATACGGTACCGTTGTATTTCTTCGGTCTCGTCTTTCCGCGTGCATTTATTTGAATACAGTTGCGATACATTTCAAGCTGTCTGGTAATTTTTGCATCCGCTCGCGCGAGACGTTAACAATAAATACAATCGTATATCAACAGAACAAAGACATATGCACATTTTTCATTATTTGTTGTATAATTATGAATGTTGATATGCATATTCGTCCAAAGAAGCGTCGATGTAGATTATGAAAAATTAAACTAAAGAACGATAAATATTTAATTAAAATTTTTATAAATGACAAGATTACATTAGACAATTGTCAAATAATTTTAATCAATTAAAAATTTAACGATATCAACAAAATGTGTGAAAATGAATATTTATCATCTTTTTTTCGCAATAATTAAAAAATTTATTTTCACGTCTCAAAACTCCTTTTCTAAGAACGTGTGCTTGATGTCTATCGCTCGACAGATACAATAAGACGATTGATCTAGATGACGTAAAACGCACGAGAAACGAAATCGACTGACGTCAGTCGTAGGCGTTTTCGAAGGAAAAGACAGCGCCTGTTTTCAGGAAAAGACATCGTTTCCGCTGGTATACTCTGTCAAAGCCTTACAACTTTACCATTGAGCTCAAGTCCAACAATTGCACCGCTCGCGGAAACTGCCTTCAGACTCAGGTTGTTCCCGAGCGAGGAGTAGCTGCAGTAGTCCTCCAACTCCACGCAAGTACTGTCCTCACCCTCTGGAATCAATTGGATGCAATGATTGAGCGGTTCATCTCTGAAGAAGAACCTCCTCAGGAACTTGAGCACTTTCAGTTTGTCATCCTTATTAATTATCTCGATGTGATAATCCATACCGCCGTTCGACCCGTCAGCCAACGAATCGGCCAACTGAAATAAGAACATTACGAAAGTGAGAATATTATGAGATTTTGCGAAAATTATTTGATATATCACACGGAGAGGGATAATTTTTTCACATGATTTTTAGGGTAAATTTTAAGAGAAAATTCTCCCCGTGTATAAGAAACAATTACGATACAATTTTCATAGACCTAGTTTACATCGTGCACTTGATACGCGTATCAAATAGTAACAAATAGTAAATAACTAGTAAATTCGTTTGGTCATTGGCTGATCAGTTAAATACACTATTTGATACGCGTATCAAGTGCACGATGTAAACTAGGCCATATTTAGAATTGACAACTTTTATATTCGTACTTAGTTTGTATTTTTTATATTTGGAAATTACAAACGGATATTAAAAATGTTGCCAGGTAATATTTTATAATCCGTCGATATGAAAGGTATTTGACGAGATTATCTGGCAAAGTTTTTATATTGAACGCTACTGTTTGATGATTGGCGCATATTTCGATTAGAGCTAACCGTACCTTGGGGTGTTCATAGTTAATTGGAATATGAGACACGCGTTGAGCGATGCCGACAATAGGAAATGTAAATTCAGCGTAATTTGCGACATGATCCTCGAGTCGAGGATTCGGAGCAGACTTTTATATACATATAGGACTGATGCGCCAGTTTATTAGGCTAATATTACATTTATTGTACGACAAATTTTTTAAGCGTGTTGATTGGCTGCAGAATAGAAAAATTCTCGAGTCTCTAGAAATAATCTATTCTGCAGCTAATCGACACGCTTGAAAAATTTGTCGCACGACAGATGTAATATTAGGCTTATTGTTAGCCTTAGTCTAATATTATATTCGTCGTACGACATTCGTCGTACGACAAATTTTTCAAGCGTGTTGATTGGCTGCAGAATAGAAAAGTCCTCGTGTCTCTAGAAATTTTTTATTTTGCAGCCAATCACCCTAGCGGAAAAAATTTCTATAAATAACTACAAAAAATTGACTTGAAATAGAAATTTGTAGAAATTTTTATATCGTCGTTGAAACATTATTTTTTGTTGTAAAAATATCTACGAAATAGTATCACAAATCACAATGTTCTCAAATCAAGAAATTATTGCAAGTAGTATTTCATGAAAATGTACAATTTTGTAAAAACTGGTACAAAACTTTGCTACTTTTAAAGATTTGAGAAACAACAAAATCTTAAAGAATTAAAACGTCTGCTTGTAGAATATTACAAAAATTAACAAAAGTGTTCCAATTCTAGCATTTTCATGTTGATTTTTATAACATTTTTTTAATTTACATAGAATTTCTTAGATTCCGGCAGTTATATTTAATTTCTTTTGTAGAATTTCGTAGAATTATTTCCGGCAGGGCAACATGCTTGAAAAATTTCTTTTCAAAAAATAAATTTTCTTATTAGACCTTCGGCTACGTCCCGATATCCGACAGTTGTATAACGCCTTACACCGCACGTAATGTCGACGCGCGCGTTTCTCGTTTATTCAACGCATTTTATCGCGATTGGTCGTCGCGCGGTCAACATCACCCAACGCTAATTTGTCATTGATCTACTTCCAAACAGTGATTTGAAGAGTCGATAAGACTGTGTGCGGTTGCGATGAGCGTTTTGACACGACAGCTTCGCGGACGGAGATACAAAATAACGTGGGACTAAAAATCCTCTAAAAAAAAGAAGAAAGCGGAACGTTTGGATATTTTCTAAACATTTTTATCATTTTCTGGATATCGAACGGACGTCTTCTGAGACGTGCGTTTATTTTGCCATTACGCGATATGTCGCGACACGTAGAAACCTTGCGGGATGCAAAACTCCTTTGCCTTGAATGTTACGACGTTATTGTTCGCGCGTAATTTAAAACGTCCTTCCTCTGATAAGTTATTTAATAATCATTTGCTAAATTATAAAATAACAGCTCGTTCAATACGCTGATAATATTTGTCGCAATTAAGGGAGCCGGCATCCGAGCATTATGCCATTACGTTTGCAGAAGGATGCGACGTGAAGACGCGTTGTCATTATTATTCGAGTTACGTCATGTCAAAGGGAGCGCGTCGTTACATTAAGAGATCTCACGCACAGTATCTTTCTTTCAGCGTAATTAATAATCTGCATAATAATGTTTCATATCATACAATTACCGTGAGAAAATGATTAGATCATCGCAGTGAGGCACGTTTACGCGTACATCATCACCAAGGCAATGAGTGAATCGTTATGTCCCTTGGACAAGTATCATTTACTTCGAAAGAAGAGTATCATATCCGATCAATTAACGGATCGAAAGAGAAACGGGCGGGCATTTCTACGCGGAGAGAATTTTCTCTTAAAATTCACCCTGAAAATCATGTAATCGTGGGACGGCACTTCGAAGAA